GAAATATCTAGATATAGATATCTAGAGATATGTAGTGTAAATACAGATAAATCTAGATGTAGATAGATATATACCTAGAGAAATATCTAGATATAGATATCTAGAGATATGTAGTGTAAATACAGATAAATCTAGATGTAGATAGATATATACCTAGAGAAATATCTAGATATAGATATCTAGAGATATGTAGTGTAAATACAGATAAATCTAGATGTAGATAGATATATACCTAGAGAAATATCTAGATATAGATATCTAGAGATATGTAGTGTAAATACAGATAAATCTAGATGTAGATAGATATATACCTAGAGAAATATCTAGATATAGATATCTAGAGATATGTAGTGTAAATACAGATAAATCTAGATGTAGATAGATATATACCTAGAGAGATATCTAGATATAGATATATAGAGATATGTAGTGTAAATACAGATAAATCTAGATGTAGATATCTATATCTAGATAGAGCTATGTAGTATAAATATCAATATAGCTGGAGATGGATATGCATACGTACACCTAGATACAGATGAATATAGATGTGTGTATGTACATATAGATATGTATCTGCATATGCAGAAGGCAGGGCAGGATGGCCCCTTAGACTAGAGACTGTTTCAGAGCGGCGTGAGCTTTTACGGGCAACAACCTACTGATCAGAGGCCTCCCCTGGCCTTTCATAGCCTCTGACCAAGCAAAGCTACTGCCTCTCTGAGCTAGTTTGTCTCCAAGGCGGCCCTTTGCCCTGCCTTCTGCCTGCCTTTGCTGAACCAGCTCTGGATATGTATAGACCTTTCTATCTACGTGCCCATGCATATATGCAATGCATGTCTATTTAGTATTTTCCGTCCCACGTCCAGCCTGGACCTCATCCCCGCACAGCTGCCCTCCTACCCCGCAGTCTCCCCCGGCTTCCTGCAGCCCGCGGGGAGAGCCGTGCAGCGTGGGAAGGACAATGAGCTGAGTCTCCCCAAAGGATCTGTAACCTGAGCCCCGCAGGGCAGGAGGCCTTGGCTTCCAGACAGGCCAGACCAGCTTGGGTGCATCGGTCTCCACCCCCTTCCCCTCCCCGGCACCAGCCCGCAGCTCGTTGCCTGGGGCCAAACCCTTAGTTCACCGCTGACGGACAGTCAAGGGATTTTGCCAGAGGGAGGAAGGATGAAAGACGTCAGATCTAGGCCCCCCCAGATCTTGCAAGTGGCTCCGCTGGCCTTGGAGGAGAAGGAGGCGCCCTTGAAACCCCGGGTGTCCATCACGTCCCTCGAAGCCATTGCTAATTAAGCTGGGAGAGGCAGGGGCGGCGAGGGTGGATTTAATTTCCTCCGTTCCCGAGGGAAGTGGCCTGGCCGGAGCCATTTTTGCAGCCGTCTGGGCTGAGTTTGGAGGCCCGGCTAGCAGGGGTCAAGGTGGCTTTTGGCTCCACAAAGGGGACGGCGGGGGCTGCTGAGAGGCAGCATGGAGGCACCTGAGCTGGGCTGCAGAAAAGGCCATGGGGGGGGGGCAGGGAGGCCTCTCGGAGCTGGTCTGGGGAGGAAGACGCCTCCTCCCCATCAGAGCCGCTGGCTCTCGGCTCCTGGTGCAGCTCGACCCCGCGTCTGAGGGGCATATCCTGACCACCAGGCTATTGGGGGCGATGGGTGGAGGAATGAAATGTCCGTAGTGCCAGGGAGCGTGGGGGATCTCCGGTGGCCCCGTTGTCGGGGGGGGAGCGGGGCGGGGAGCTGGGATCTCAGCCCGTCCCGGGCCACGGCTCATTCACGCTGGGTTCCTGCTTCCCCCCAGGCGGCAGACGGCGGAGGAGCGGGAAGCAGAGCGGCAGCAAGCCAACCGCATCCTCATGCAGCTGCAGCAGGAGGCCTTCCAGAAGACCATCAACCAGCCCATCCAGGCCGACCCCATCTGCGTCCACAACTCGTCCCTCTTCGCCCTCCAGAACCTCCAGCCCTGGTCCGACGACTCCACCAAGATCACCAGCGTCACCTCCGTGGCCTCGGCCTGCGAATAAAGCCCCGGGCGGCGGGGGCGTCCGCCCGCATTCAGAGCCAGCCTGGTCCCGGAGCCCCCTTCCTCCCCGGGGGGAGCTGCCACCCACGCACAAGTCTGGGGGACGGTCCACCCACAAGCAGTGTTTCCTCTTTCTTTCTTTCCCCTTTTGAAAGCCTCTGATGCCAGCCAAGTCCCGGCAGGGGCTTGCTCAGCTGTGGCCGGAAAGCATCCATGCTGCTTTCCCGAAAGCCACGGAGGAAACCCCCCCTCTGATTCCCATCCACGGCCAGTGCAGACCCTGGGCTCGGGCTTTCCGGCTGGTTGTTTCGGACACGGCGGCGCTGTCCTGCTTGGGACCTTTCCGGGCCGAGCCCCGGGCACTCGTGCAGCAGAAACGCTCAGGCCGGACTCGGGCAACGGACAAAACAACCCCGCTCGCTCCCGTCACGCGGCAGAGAGTCCTTTGCATCGCAGTTAGGGATGCCTCCGCCCCTTGTAATTAATAATTTTTCCAGGGGAGGACTAAGAGGAGAGTCTGACAGCGCTTTGACGAGAGCAGATGTAACGTTTCAAACAATCGTACGACGATTCCTGGCGGTTTCCCTGGAAACCTCAGACTCTACATTGATCAACTTATATTTTAATAACTATGAGACATCTGTGGCATTTCGCAGGGATAATGCAGTTTCATTCAGCGGATTATTTCGGTATCATTTACAGACGTTGTTCAATATTTTATTTACCTTTTCTTTCCCCCTTTGCTTTAGAAGTCGGTTTACGATGGGGAGGGGGGAAACCTCCTTCAACCGTTTGACTCGGTCATTTCTACCGTTGTATGGAGGGCACGAGATGTGATGTAAGCGAGGCACTTCTTCTAGCAAAACGCCAGGAATATATAGATTATATATATATTATACAATATATATTTTTCAGTTATGTATACGCTAAAGCCACACTGCCAATTCAAGCAGCTGGTGCAAACAATCAATCAAAAAACCTATTTTCAGTGAGATTTTTAAAGGCGTTCATTTGTTCCGTATTGTTTTGTTTTTTAAGTTATGCACTTATAAGGTGTTTTTATGTGTATTCATTTTATAAAGTGCTTGTGTAATTTATGTGGGGGAAAAATTAAAAAAAAAAAAGGAATAAACAAAAAAAATCTCCAGGGCACTGGACAAATCATCAAACGCCTTGTTCTCGTCTTTCTACCGGTTTCTATAAAGGGGACGGTAGGTCACAAGTCAGAGGCGACGGCCTTCCACGCGAAGATATAAATGGATTTAGCGTTCCCCTTCCCTTTCCTTGCAGCCACTTGGCTTCTGCGGCTATAGGGGCACGTCATATATTTTCATGTTGATCCTATAAACGTTGTCAGGCCCCGATCCAATAGAATACTTTACCCCTTGCTTAATTTTAAGCACTTCGGTGGGATTATTTCTGTGGTTGCAGCTAGCAGCTGCCAAGTGCTTCGTGGGGCAGGAATGGGATTGCTCTCATGCTTAAAGGAAACACATGCGTACATACTTTTCCGAATTGGGCCTGAGTGCTTTGCTGGATTGAGGCCACTCGATTGATTTTTAGGGCGCCAAGTATTTATTGAAAGGGGGAAGCGGCCAGAAGAGCTGGAGAAGAAGCTAAATTTGCAATGCTGCCCCTGTAGGCACTGGCCGCGGTGCTTCAGATGTACACCTCGCCTTACTCCGGAGTAACTTCCCACACAGGCCAACCCTTTGCTGAAGGGCAATGAAGCCAGAGGAAATATTCCCACTGACTACCAAGGACCTCAGGATCCCAGGAAAGCCGGGCTGGAAGGGACCTCACAGGGTCATCTAGGCCCCTGCTCGAGGCAGGATCGGGCCTATCCAAAGCATCCCAGCCAAGCGTCTGTCCAAACTGCTCTTGAAAACGTCCGAGGATGGAGAGAGCACGACACCTGTAGTGCGTAGCCAGGAAGTCCTTCCTGATCTCCACCCTCGAATTAGACCTTTATATTATACGACCCGACGGCAGCGACCTCTTCTTCTGCAGCCGGTGAAGGAAACTGAGCGGCATCCCAAGGAGACTCGTCATCCAACACCCTCCAGCTAACGCGCCACTCCGCCTGTGCAACACGACTAGGCAGGACTGTGGAAAAGCGGAGAAATGCTCTTCTTCACCTAACCTACCCCAAAATGGGCCTGAGAAAGAAAGCCTTGCTTGTTGGACTTCATCCCAGCCATGCAGTGGGCCCGGTGAACGATATCCCCCTTGCCGCTTTCATAGCTCCTGGACCATCACAGCCACATCATCCTAACGCTGCCATTACCTGGAGAAGACCCCTTGGCTTCCACGTGGGACTTTGACTTCCTTCCAGTAATAAGCATTACCGCACAGGGTGAGTTTGCATGATTGAGCTCTTAAAATACCTCTTAAAAAGCCTGGGACAAGTCCCATGGGCTTCAGTCTGGTGCAGTTTTTGGTGCAGGAGTCGGATCTGGGCATCTGAGATCGTTATGGGAGGTGAGATCGCGCTTTCCCCTCTGGTTTGAATACAAAGCCGCTCCGGAAAATGAATTTAGAAAGGGGTAAACATCACGTCGTGCCAAGGTAAAGCAGGGCAAAGCCGAGAGGATTTTGTCAGAGCTCGGTTTAGAGCTGAGCTGAAAACCTTGTGCCAGCGAAGTGCTTTGGTTCCTGAAACAGGGCACACGAGCAGACGCACACAAAGGTATCAGAGCAGCCGGAGAGGCAAAGATACCCGCAGAGAAACACACGCACGAGAGAGACCCGAGTTTTAGAGGGAGAGGCTGGATCCCAAGTGGTAGCTGGAATAAAATAATTTGCATGTTTTTCCCCAGACAAATTCTGTGGATGTGTTTAGCTTCACATTCCTTTCTCTCTCATACGTGTCTTTTTGAGCCTGGGGAACAGGAGCGGGGGATATACATTTTACTAGTTTAAAATTAGAAGCAGTGTTACCGTGCAATTCCCCCACCCGCCTGCCAGGCTTCCTTAACGGGAAGATGACCAACCACAAAAATAAGAAGGATGATCATAAACTTCTCGATTGCTATGATGCATATTTTGTTTTTTATTGCTAACCATAGAATCACAGACGTTGAGGGCTGGAAGGGAGCTCAGGAGGTCACAACTCGTCCGACCCCCTGCTCCAAGCAGGACCAGCCCCAACTACATCATCCCAGCCGAGGCTTTGTCTAGCCGGGTCTTCAAAACCTCTGAGGATGGAGACTTCACCACCTCTCTGGGTAACCTGCTCCAGGGCTTCACCACCCTCCTCGTGAGAGTTTTTTCTTAAATATCCAACCTCAACTTCCCTTGCTGCAGCCTGAGCCCATTGCTCCTTGTCCTGTCATCTGCCCCCACTGAGGACAGCCCAGCTCCGTCCTCTTTGCAGCCCCCCTGCGGGGAGATGAAGGCTGCTATTCAATGCCCCTCGGTCTTCTCTTCTGCAGACTCAATCAGCCCAGTTCCCTCGGCCTCTCCTCACCAGTCCTGTCCCCCAGCCCCACGACCATTTTCATTGCCCTCCGCCGGACTCTCTCCAAGTTGTCCACATCCTTTCTGTAGTGGGGGCCCACAGCTGGCCACAGGACTCCAGATGTGGCCTCCCCAGTGCTGAATAGAGGGGAACTGTTGTTGATTTTATAATATAGTGGAAGTCTGATGTTTCATGTGAAGACAGGCCGTTTATAATGTCCATAGAGCTCATTTTATACCTCAAAATACTTCCAGACACATCACGATCATGTGTGTCTAATAGACACAAACCTACTAACACCTGCGCAAATGTGCATCTAGCAATATTTTAATTTAGAAGCTAGGAAACCTGTACGTCCTTCGCTGTCTTTCTAGACAGAAAAAGTAGCCTCAGCGTGAAATGAAAACACAAAATCCAGCACATAACCCAGCTTTCCATTCCTGCTTGTTTCTGGAGCGATCCTTTCTAGAAGGCTTCTTTGTTAAGATATATTTCCTATTCTCATTATTAAAATTAATTTTGTAGCGAGAGGGTTTTTTTTAATCTCTGCCTACACGATTCCAGTTATTAAAGCTCTGATCTGTACCTAAATAATAATAAGAAAAAAAAATTGCCTGAAACGTGATGGAATTAAAGTGATCGGGAATGACACAAAATGACGAGAGATAATTACATCTGTTTGGTAGACTGACATCACCTCAGACATATCCGGGGGCAGTTGCACCATCTTCCCGGCTGATTTAATTTTTCATTTTGTACCTATTTGGAAACAGGAATAAAAACTGCCTAAGAAGCACTGAGAGGTGTCTTTCATCCCCAGCTCTCTCAAACCCCTGCAAATCCCTCAAGCCAAAACTGCTGTGAGTACAAAACACTTCCCCGTTGTTTGTCTGCTTGCAATTAAGAAAAGTAAAACAAGGTGCACTGGGAGAAAGCAAAGAGGCCAGCTTAAAAAATCCCTTTGAATATCTCTAGTTATCGCTGTAACTCTTCTGATAGCTAACATCTATTCAACCTGGAAGAGATGAGCAGCTAGGTATTTTGTAGTCTCCTGGACTTTGGTATCAGGTCAAGAAGGTATTCGTATTCAGTATTTTGTGTCTAACTTTCTGCAAACCAGTTAAGCATGTGCTTCACTTCAAATATGTAAGTAATCCTATTACTTTTATCAGGCCTGTTAATGCTGATGCTACATCTGGACTTGCGAAGCAGTGGAGAGTACCGGGCTCTGTACAATACACTTCTGTGCTTGTTAAAGTTTTCATGGAAAAGCTTTGGGCACGGCGTGATCCCATCTCACAAGAATGAAAGATGAGAAACTATCATGAGTCATATCAATCGTGCAGAGACCCAGCTCTGGCATGGGAAAGCCGAGCCTGACGACTGCAGTGGCTGGGCCGTGTCAAAAGGATGGGAGCGATCCAGACACCAAGGGCAGCTGTTCCCGGGGTGCCGGAGGGACGACCAAGGCGAAGATGGGAGAGGATGTGGTATCAGAGCCGCAGAAATTAAATGTGAACAATGGGAGGATGAAGATAGTGAGAGCTGCTAAGAGCTTCTAGTGCTACATTAGTAGTAGTAGTAGTGGTAATTGTTAGTGGTATTAAAATACTAGCTAAGTGTTAAAATATTAAACATTAAACTACTAATATTAAGCACTAAAGTATTAAAGTACTAGTATTTAAATACTAGCTAAGCAGGTATTTATGCATTTTCCTGGATTAAGGCTTTTTAAGCACACAGCTACGTTTAGACTCTGAAGTAGACACATAGGTAAGTACTTTGCAGAATCGGCTCCTTATGGCCCCAGATTAAGATTTAATTGCTGGCACTTCCTTTATTGGGGTACATTATCTTGTGCTACTATATTAAGGTGTAATTACATCATCATCATCATTACTATTATTATTATTATTATATACTTAACAATTATAATGATATTATACAATAAATTGTTATTATATTATTGTAATACATTATATCGTTCATTAGCAATATATCAACAGCACTTGCAAGGGCACCCGGACCTTTATTTTCACTGAAGGCTCTGACCTGCCTGTACATCACACCTCTGATTCTGCAAACAGTTTTGTTCATCCCACTGAACTCAATGGGACTATTTTAATTGATCTGGATTATTGTAGCACTTTCAGGCCCCAATCATTTATGAGTGTCCAGGCACTGAATACACAAAGAAAGTCTTAGAGCATAACTCTGCAAGATTTCAAATAGAGAGCTCATGTTAAGTCAGGCACACGCTTCAATCCAGAGGTCAAGTGCGGACTGCACCTGATAGAAAAATTCTATAGTAAACCTACTAAAAAAAATTTTTTCCATGATCAGAAAGCAGCTTATTGACAAAGAGAAATTTGAACAAAAAATCTGTTTTTTGAGTGGAAAAATGTGTGAGTTTTGTGAAGAAATGAACACCTGAACTGTTTTGAGATTTCTACTTGCTCTGGAACTTTTAAACTTTTTCTTTCTTCCTTTCTTCCTTCCTTTCTTTCTTTCATCCACACTGCTGATTAATTAAAACCAAGACTTCTAGTACAGCAGGCTTCATTCTGACCCACCTCCTGCTCTGAAAAGTGGTTGAGGAAAGAAAGGGTTGCAGTTATTAAACACGTCCCCTTTTGACATACTTATGCAGAAACGTTTCAACTTTAGAGGCCAACACGCTGTTTTGTTTCACATTTTTAGGGAATTCAGATTTTAAATAATTTGAAAAGAAAAAAATGGACACGATCAAAACGAGTCTTTTCGGACAGAGTGCAAATGAATTTTTTTCAGTCAGCCCCTGAGCCTTTTTCAAGCTGGAGGGGGGCGGTGTTCGGAAACTTCAAAAATTCTCCAAGGATGAGAAAACTGGACCTAGTTTCTGCTCATCAAAATAATTTGTATGTTGCTGTTTAAAACTGTGTCTTTTCCACCAAAAACCTAGGAAAGCATTGAAGTCAGTGACAACAAAAGATGAAAAGCATTTACCTACATCGACATATTTCTTTTATTTTACATCTATATGCATAGAGCTGGGGTGGGGTCTTTTTGCGGATGAGAAAAGCTTCCTATGTGTTGAAAAATATTTTCCTTCTCTTTAAGTTGGCATGAAAATAACCAGTGCAGCTCAGCCCAAAACAGAGCCCCATAGCTACCCTTTTACCTTCCTTTTTGGTTTTCGAATATAAAGAAAAGGGTGGCTCTGTCTTGCAAACCTGGAGTGCTTTTAGATGTTCAGCCATGACAAGTAAGACTTGAGCCAACTCGCTTTCCCAGTTTCATCAAAGCATGTCTCCCCACCGCGGCGCGGGAGTCGGCTGCGGTTATCTGTCTGTCTGTCTGTCTCTGGCTACTGCCTGAACGTAACAAATCAGCGCTTTAAAACAAAATCAATCAATACTCTTCATCTGACGCCACAAATCAGGGGAGCACGACAAGGTCTGGCTGGCCCTAGGATGCACTGAAACAGGGTGGGAAAGCAAGGCTGGCTCATGATTCTCCACCGTCTGCATGAAAAAACAGAGTGCAAAGAGGTTTGAAAAATGAGTTTCTCTCTGGTTTTTGATGGGCGGTTGGATGTAGCTGCATCTCCCGCAGCAGGAAGAAACTCAAGTTCTGGCCCAGCTCACGGCAAAGATAGCATCCTCTGTTGTACAGATAGCATGTAGGGGCGCTTGTACACGGTCCTGAGTTTCTAAATGCCACCGTCGTTGCACCTGGTGCTGTCTGTGGGCATCCTGAGACAGGCTCTGCCCACAGGCTTAATAAACAGGACAGCTGTATTTTGCTGACGGTAGGAGCAGGAGCTGAACTTCCACCTTCTGGGCTCCCCAGCTAGCGCACGCCCCACTTGCACACAGTGCTTTCTTCTTTTAACAGAGTAGATGCTGCCCTCGGTCATTCGGGAGTGAATCTAGAGTCACTCCAGCACAGCTCCATCAGGTTTGCACTCATGCAACTGAGATAAGTGTGCTTTTGTCCCCCCTGGGCTTGCCTATCCTGGCGACTGAGCCTTTGCAGCAAGGCAGGTCAAGTACCGATGCTGCCAGACTCCTGGCTGGCTGCGCTGCTTGAGATGGTAAAAAGCCTTCGGGCCGCGCGGGAATTGCAGGGGGGAAAAATTCCCATTACTCCTAGTCACCTCCCATGATTCACTGGGACACGGCGCCATTTCCTAGCCTGCCCCTCGGCATTGGAAGTGGGGTAAAAGCAGGGTTTCTCGAGGCAGACAAGGTTCCTCGGGGAGATGGGATATCTTTCATTAGACCAACTGAATAGCTGGAAAAGTTGTTCTTTGCAAGCTTTCAAAGAGCAACCGCAAGGGCCTGGCCAGGGGATGGTGGAAGCTCCTGTCTCAAGAGCTGCGGTGAGTAGGAGACAACCCCCAGCCCCAAGTCCCTGAGTTCCCCACCCAGGTAACGCGGCTTTGTGAAGTCTCCAGGGAGATGGTGGAGAAGGGAAGTGATGCTTTTGGGTCTGGGACAGGAGTGGTGGGTACAAGTGTTTGGAGCCTGGGACATCTCCCTGGACGGATTAGCAGCAGAGCCCTGTGTCCGTGCAGGGTGGCTGGGCTAGATGACCCCTGAGGTCCCCGCCAGTCCTGGGTATCTGTTGTTGTTTTTGGGGTGAGCAGCAATGGGCACATCATTTCTGCCCAGGATGGACCAGGGGGCTGGAGTGGACCCTAAGTTGAATAGGAGCCACCGGGGTGCTTTTCTTGCCAACAAAACCCAGAGTAGGCTGGGCTAGCTCAAGGGAGGTGATTCTTCTGCTGTCTTTGGCCTCACCGGGTCCAGCTGCGGGTGCCTCGCGATGCAGACAAGTTGGGAAGGGAGATCGCCGCACATCCTTCAAGGCCTGAGAGACAGGGCCTCTGAGGAAAGGCTGGAAGACCTGGGATTATTTAGTGTGGAGAAGAAAAGACGGAGGGAAGACTTGACAACAGTCTTCCAACATCCAGAGGGTGGTTATAAGGAGGATGGGGACTGACGGTTCTCCAGGTCCGTGGGGCCATGGTCTGACACAGCAGCAAGAGTAAGTTGAGGCAGAACTTTCTCACCCGGGGGGAGGGCAGCCTCACGGGGGGGGGTCCGGTTCAGGTCGTGTCATCGTCAACTCCACGCACCTCCTCCGCTGCTGGGAGTGGATTCGGGCCGGCGATGAACGGAGCTCAGCTCTGCTCAGCCCATCAGTAGGGAAAGAGCGGTGGAAAATAGTAGGAGCAATGCTGCCACCGTCTTGAGGCAGCTGGTTTAGGGCTGCTGCCACCTTCTCCCCTTGTCTGGGCTGGCTCACATGTTTGGTGGGAGTGTATTTAAACCAACCGTTGCTTGAAGCTGTCATTATTCTTGCTATTTTGGAAACAGAGGATACCTGGGACCCTCTCTAAGGGCCCTGGCAGCTCTGTTGGGGGGGCTGCCCTCTCCTTAGACTCCTGGGCAGTTTCTAACGATGCAGCATGGCCTGCCGGATCCGCCAAGGGGAAATGGGGCACAGACAACCATGGGCTGGGAGAGGAATCGGTGCCTCTGCGGTGGCATTGTGGCTGCATGGCGCAGGGAGCAGAAAGCAGAGCAGCAGATGAGGCAGGGGGCACAGGGCAGGGAGCAGAAAGCAGAGCGGCAGATGGGGCAGGAAGCAGAAAGCAGAGCAGCAGATCTGGCAGGGAGCAGGCACGTGTTTTGTCCCAGTGACATTCGTAGGCAGAGATGAGCTTTTCAGGCAAAGCCTGGTGAGCCGTGTACACACTCGCGTGGCTCAAACCCCTCCACTCGTGGTCAACGTGGAAGCTCTCCCCTCGGCGCGTGAGCGTGGACTGAAACCCTCGCAGCCGGTCTTGCTTGATCCCTACCCAAAAAAGCATAAAATAAAGAATTCCAAGAAAAGCCGGTCGCAGACAGGCCCCGACGACAGGCCCCAAGCCTTCGTGCAAGGCTCTGGCACCAGGGTCGGGAACTGCTTGTTGCACCCCCAGCTTTGCCACAGGCTTTCTGCGCGGCCTCGGCCAACTCCCATTCTCTCTCTGTGCCTCAGTTTCCCCTCTGAAAAAAAAAAGGGGAGAATCCTTGCTTTCACCATCCTTCATCTGCCTTCTCTGCTCACCCTGGAAGATGTCATCTAGAGCTCTGCTCTCAGTGGGATGCCGCTGTGCATCATGGGGTGAAAGCAGAGGGGGAAAGAGCTGCCTTTCATCCAGGATAATGGTGATAAACCATTTCATCTTTTTTTCTGGAGCAGAGAGTTGAAACGATAGCAGCTGCTGCCTAAAGCACGGGCTACCTGCCAGGCTGCTTGAGGCAGCTGTCCTGGGGAGGACTACGAAGGCAAAGAGCTTGGTATTTACTGGAAAGAGCTGGGATGGAGAAGGGAGTAGCAAACACACCACAGGAACATGCACAGAGAAGGGTGCAAGGAAGCCCCCAGTCACTACCGGAGGAGCACGTGAGGCAAGATCCCCAAAAAAGAGTGGGGAGAGGAATCTTTGGGCAAAGGACTTGCCAGGGAGAGGCTCTGAACAGCAAGCAAAGCAACCAAGGCCTCTTGTCTGGTTCCCAGATTGAGCTGGCCTTTGTGTGTGTTCTCTGTGCAGGAAGAGGAGGGGGATGGAGAAACACCTTTGTCTTCAGGTTGTGGATGATCCCTTGTAAGCCGCAATTTTCAATACTTCCGTGTTGCAGCATTGTCGGGGTGATGCTGTAGCCATAACAGCCCAGGTATTATGCCAGAGGCCGAGGTGAAAGCTTTGTGTTCAAAAGCTTGTCCAAGTCGCTCCCGCCCATGCGATGGGTCCGATCACAGATCTCCCCCACAAAGATCCTTGCCTCTGAGAAATGCCCCTCCCCAGATCCTTGCCTCTCTCCCCAAATTCTCCTCCCACTGGACTGAGGCAGGACCAGCCCTGTCCAAGTCATCCTATACAATCTGGGCGTGTCTACACGTGC